TTTTAAAAATCTTAAACAATTTTTTTTTAATGTTTACTTATTTTCGAGAGAGAGACAGAGTGTGAGTAGGGGAGAGGCAGAGAGAGAGAGAGAGAGGGAAACATAGAATCTGAAGCAGGCTCCAGGCTCTGACCTGGAACCCGACGTGGGGCTCGAACTCACAAACTGTGAGATCATGACCTGAGCTGAAGTCAGATGCTCAACCGACTGAGCCACCCAGGCGTCCCTAAAAAAAATCTTTTTTAATGTTTGGTTTAATTTTGAGAGAGAGTGTGTGAGTGGGGGAGGGGGGAGGGGGGTGCCAGAGGGTCCAACGCGGGCTCTGCGCTGAAAGCAGTAATCCTGATGCCAGGCTCGAACCCACGAACTGCGAGATCATGACTTGAGCCAAAGTCCCAACCCGCGAAACCGTGAGATCATGACCTGAGCGAAAGTCAGACGCTCAACCGACTGAGACACCCAGGCGTCCCCTAATGACTTCTAATCACATCTCCTATCAGGATCAAAATTTCAGTTCAGAGAACATTCGTGGACGTCTAATCAAAGCTCTATGGTGGTGGGATATGGATCAAAGGCTCTGAGCGTGGAGGATTTGCAAGTTCTAGTCCTAACCCTTACCTGACCTAGGAATTCTCCCTGAGCCTGGTGGGCAGCTGCTAAGCCAGCCTTTGTCTCAGTACTTCTCAGGAGAGGAGCTTGCTGTCTCTCTAGGCAGTCTATTCTCACTCTGGCTTTAATCATCAGAGCCGCCACTTATCATGAAGAAAAAGCGTCACCACTTAGTGAACATTGAACAATTTAGGCCTGAGGCCCACAGCACCAAAATCAACCATAAAATCCACTTTATTATTCATGATTTGGTTTACTGATGGGTGTTCCCGACATCTGTGGCTTCCCACTTAAACTAATTGTTCTTGCTGCCTACGAGCTAAAACTCAGCTATTTTTATGCCAACATTAAGATTTTAAGTTGCCCATCTTTTCGAGTGATTTCAGTGCTTTGGGAACACTGCCCTGGTTACTAATGGAGAGGCAGGGAACCTGCTGACCTTTGACATCTAAACAAAATCTTCCCTCCTGTCCCCTGATCCCTATGCTGGCCCACAGGTCTCTGCTTTATATATGTGGCTAATTTATGTTTTTGTGGCCCTTTTGGGTAACAGCTTTATTGACCTATAATTCACACACCGTACAATCCAACCATTTAAAGTATACAATTCAATGGTTTTTAGCATTTTCATGAGCTTGTGCAACCATAACCATAATCAAATTTAAAATATTTTCATCTCTCCCAAAATAATACCTTTGTTCTTTTTGTTTCTTTAATGTTTATTTGTTTCTGAGAGAGAGAGAGAGAGAGAGAGAGAGAGAGTAAGCAGGGGAGGGGCACAGAGAGAGGAAGACAGAATCTGAAGCAGGCTCCACGCCGTCAGTGCAAAGCCGGATGTGGGGCTCGAACCCACAAACCTGGGAACTGTGAGATCATGACCCGAGCCAAAGTTGGACATTCAACCGACTGAGTCACCCAGTGTCCCAAGAATACCTTTATTCTTTAGCAATCACCTCCACTCCCCACCCAGGCTGGAGATGGTCCAGCAACCATGAACCGATTTTCTGTCTGTACAGATTTTCCTGTTCTGGAGAATTCACATAAATAGAATTATGCAGTATGTGGCCTTCTGTGATGGCTTCCTTCACTTAGCAGTGAAAGTGTTACCATATTGTAACATATATCACGACTTCATTCCTTCTTAATGTGAATGATGTTCCATCATGCGGCTATATCACATTTTGCTTATCCATTCATTCATCAGTTGGTGGGCATTTGGGTTGTTTCTTTTTCGGCTTTTACGAATAGTGCTGCTATGAATGCGGTGTCTTGTGTCTTCTCTCCTGATCACCGAGAGGAACTCTGTGCAGACCGTCTTTCCTGATGGTTTCGAGAGACACGTGAGGGTAGCGACTACCCTGCCCACCAACCTCTGCCCCTCCCCCCCCTTCCTGACACAGCTGCCCATGACTCAAGGCCTCCTGGGGTCTTTGAGCTATACCATCTGTCTCCTCTTTCCTCCTTCTGTTCTCTAGGAAAGGCAGTTTGGGGCAGAGTCATCTGGTTGTCAGGGTCGGGCACAGTCAACGCTTTCCCTTTTGCTGGGCAGACCGCAGTGACCAGAGACAGCCTTATAAGGAGTTGGGCCCTGGGCTGCCCCAGGCTGGTTTTCTCTTCACTCACCACTTGGCCCTAGTTCCGGGGCCTTTCCCTTCTGCCTCCAACCCCAGAATCCCAGGCAGGAGCCCTTGGAGAGGGCAGCTTGGGTCTTCTTTTGCATTGAGGCTGGCTTGGGGCATCAGGGGAGGGGTTGGCTGGGGTCCCTGGGCAACAGGGAGCTGACAGATGAGATGCACATACTTCTAGCCTAGGATAGTTCTGCGCTGCCCCACAGCTTGAAAACCACAGGGCTCCTTGTAACCCGCTTTGTCCTCACCTTAAACAAAACGCACTTTAGGAACCAGAAAGCCAGGTGGGTGGAGGCAGAGGGGCTGAGATGTCAGGACTGGCTCTGGGTAGTTCTTTTGTGCTCAGGACTTCCTGTAGGATCCTTCCCCCCACCCCCCCCCAACATCTCCCCTCCTCCCCACCCACCCTGCCACCTCTGCCCCTAATCTGCCCTGGTCCACCTGACGACAGTTGTTGGGGAGGGGAAGAAGTGGGGATCTGGTGTCCTCCCTCCCCAGGGCTGCCATACCTGTCTGACCAGCCCCTCCCTCTCTCTTTCCGGCTCAGCTCTCTGTCCCTGGTTTTGGCCATGGGCCCACATGCCCTCCCTTTGGTCTCTGGAAGGAGAAGTCTCTCTGCCTTGCTAGCGTGGGTGTTTGTTGCAGGGGTAGGGGGGCATGCATTCGATTCACTTTTTGGAAATCAAATCTTCTTTGAAGGGGCTGGGAGAGGGCCTGGTGCAAACAGGTACTCACTGGATTTCGCTGTGCTGGTCCAGCACCTCAGGAGGTGGTGGGGAGAGTGGGGAGGAGAAAAGAGGGGAGGGGAGAAAGGAATGTGGTCTTTGTGTTCCCTCTGGGAGTCTCTGACTCATCTTTCTGGAAGGGACTTACGAGTGTGTACTTCTGTGTGTATCTGTGTGTGCGTTTGGTCTGAGTGGAGCTTTTCTGTGTGTTTTTCTTTTTGGATTTATCTCCGTCGCCAAAGAGGGGGCTGCTGGGTCTTTCTGTCCCTCTGGGTAGGGGTCTGTGTGTCTCTCCTTCTGGAAGTCTGAGCGTGTCTGCTGAAGGATGGGAAGGGTCCTGTATACCTGGCCTCCTGGCAGGTGGGGGCAGTCACTGTCACCCCTTTCCCTGGGTGGGGTGGGGTGGGGCGTGTGCTGCTCAGGCGTCTCCTCCAAGGGACTCAGGTTTCTGGCATCAAGTTGGATGTCACCCAGTCCCCACCTCATGCCCTGCAGGAACTTTCCGAAAATCTAGCCCCAGTCATCACTTAATTGCAGCTGGAATCTCTGCCTCAGGGACCCAAACCTCTTGCCTTACACCTGCAGCCTGCCCCGCCCAGCCCGCCCAGGCCCCGGGGTGCCCTGCACAGCTCCCCATTCTCCAACCTTCTACAGGTGCGTGCTCTGCCCCAACCTGCTGTCCTGACTCATTCTGATAATGGGTTCAGGGAGACAGGTGCAGGGACTCCTCCATCTCCTCCGGCCTGAGAAGAGAAAGAGGGGCCAGGTGGCTACAGCTTGACTCACCATCAGTGCCCCCAACTCCACCCCACCCCACACCTTCCTGCCTCAGGATCCTGCCTCCCTTCCTGTGAATTACCCCCTGGGCGCTATGGGAATGACTCACTCTTCCAAGGAGCAATTATAATGCAGCTTCCCTCTCTCCCGGGCTCCCCCATCTTGCCTTAGTCCTTATTTTTCATTCTCTGTGCCCTTTAGTAAGGCCTACAGTGTTCAGCCTGGCCCCGGGGAATCCTGGGATCTTGGGAGGAGAGGAAGGCACTAGGCCGTGTGCAGGAAAAGTGCTCTGTTGGATCTCACTTTATCTTGCACCTAGAGACCCAGAGGGAAGACAACCAGTGTGTATGCGTGTGTGTGTGTGTGTGTGTGTGTGTGTGTGTGTGCATTTATGCCACAATTATTTACCTAGCCCCTTTGGGCACTATAAAAAAAAGTAACTGAGGAGAAGGGGAGCCTGGGTGGCTCAATCGGTTAAGCGTCCAACTTCAGCTCAGGTCATGATCTCACAGTTCATGAGTTCGAGCCCCCGCATCGGGCTCTGCGCTGACAGCTCAGATCCTGGAGCCTGCTTTGTATTCTATGTCTCCCTCTCTCCTGCCCCTCCCCCGCTCATGCTCTGTCTCTCAAAAAATGAATAAATGTTAAAAAAATTAAAAAAAAAAGCAACCAAGGAGATACCAGACAGTTGGTTGGCCTCAGGTTCAAGGATTTGGAACCTAGAGGGCCTGTCCTCCAGCCTGGGCAGAGTTTCATAATCACCCAACATGGAGACAACATGAGGTGGTGTCTTTGGGGTGTTGGGGGTTCAGGGATCCCTTTCCTGCTATGCTTCTGAGTCCTTGCATTTATTTCTCCAAGGAGGGAAGGAGATGACGCCCAGAGTAGGACTGCAGCGGCTCGGTGACCCCAAGCAAGTCTCTTTGTTATGTGGGGCCCCTGCAAGGCAACTGTTCTCCCCAGTTTTACACTTCCGGAATCCTTCTTTTCTGAGCTTTTGGGGCAGTGCCAGAGTGGGCTCCTGGGTAGGAGCAGCTCTCTGCTGCCCCCACCTGAGTCCGGCCTGTAGGTGGCAGGTGTCGGGTTAGGCCCAGCCCCCTCAGGGCCTAGCCACTCAGGTACCAGGCTGATCCCCCTCCCCTTGGGCTGTGTTCTCTGTTATAAAGGGCCAACCCTGGGGAGCTCTTCCCACCATAGAAGCAGCTTCTCGGCTTCTTCTCGAACCTCAGGCAGGTTCAGCCTACTCGCCTCCACTCCAGCCTCCACACCGGCCTCCACCATGTCCATCAGGGTGACCCAGAAGTCCTACAAGGTGTCCTCCTCCGGCCCCCGGGGTTTCAGCAGCCTCTCCTTCACTAGCGCGCCTGGCTCCCGCATCAGCTCTGCCCTGTCCCGGGTGGGCAGCGGCAGCAGCTTCCGGGGTGGCCTGGGCAGCAGCATGAGTGTGGTTGGGGGCTATGGCAGGCCCGGCGGTATGGGGGCCATCACGGCTGTCTCAGTGAACCAGAGCCTGCTGAGCCCCCTTAAGTTGGAGGTGGACCCCAACATCCAGGCCGTTCGCACCCAGGAGAAGGAGCAGATCAAGACCCTCAACAACAGGTTTGCCTCCTTCATCGACAAGGTGAGGACTGCCCCCCAGCGCTCGCCCTTTGCGTGGCTGGCAGTGCCTGGGGCTTGCCAGGGGTCCCGACCGGTCTCTTGGTCACCCAGTCTGTGGGTACATCTCCAGCTCTCCACTGGCGACCTGTTGGGCGCCACCCACCCTGCAACACTCTCCCTTCCAGCGATGACTCAGTCCTCCCGTGCATTTTGGTTTGGGCTGGGAACTCTGTGAGGAAGAAGGTCGAACCGCTTCTGACTCTCAACCTTGAGGCTTCCTCCTTTCACGCATCTCACCCCTACCCGAGTGCTGACCGGGCTATGAAGCTTTAGGCCTGGAAGAGCCTTAGCTGTTCAGTTGTGGGGTGGGACGGGAGGCCCCTCGTCCAGGTTCACCCTCTCCCTAGCCCTGCCCTAGAAGAGGGCTCCCCCAAGTGCCCTCTCTGTTTTTTTTTTTTTTAATTTAAATAGGGTTCGATAGGATTCTGGAAGAAGGAAGCGGGTGCCTTGACTCAACCAGGTAAAATATTGATTGAGGAGCCTTTGTCGTCCCAGGGCCAGTGTGGGGCACCAGATGAGTAATCACCCGGCTAACACAAGGAACCCGCGGGGTGGGCAGGGGTCGGGCGGGGCAGAGCCTCGGTCCCCCGTCTCCCCGTCTCCCCCGCCCCGCCCCGTGGGGTGAGGGGCTGAGGCCTTCCATCGTGGGGGAGCGCTCCCCTACTTGGGGAGCTCTTAGTTTCTGGGGGGTGGGGTCGGGGTGAGGGGACGCCAGAGGGCCTGCAACTGGAATCCATCAGGATTCAGAGTGCCGGGCGTTGGATACCTCGCCCAGGTTTCGTGTCCTGTTCAACCCCATAGTTTATGGCTTCAAATAAGGTGTCTGTCTGCCAACGCCCCTCTCCCCACTCGGCCCTTGGCCCCTTTCACTCTTCCCTATCCCGGCTCCGCCCCAACCTGGCTCCACTTTCCCGACGGCAGGCATCGGGGCCGGGTTTTGCAGCCTGGATGTTTGCTGCCCCAGGGGCCCCGGTGGGGGTGGGGGTGGGGGGAGTGCCCAGCGCGCTGGAGGATTGGGCCACTCCCTGCTGAGTGGCTCCTGGAGGCATTGTGGGAAGGGAAGGAGGCAAATCCTGGGGCAGAGTGACGCCCTTAGGAATTGGAGTCCCCCAGGGAATTGGCACTCCCCTGTTTGTGGCCGGCTTGCTGCCCCCTTGGCCCAAAGCACCCTTGACTTCACTCCTTGACGGGGTTTTGTTAGCTTTGGGGTCCTCGCAAGTGAGTAGTTAGGCACCGGGCTCTGAGTCCGAGTTCCTGGATCACAGTACTCTGCCCTTCCCTTTGATGGGGCTACTTTGCCAAATCTGATCTCATCTATAAAATGGGCTTGATAATCCCTAAATCAAAGAGGTGTTGCCGATTCAAGCATATGATGTATGTAAAGAGCTTAGCAGTGCTTGGCCCATATTAAGCAGTCCAGTAAGGCTAAAGGTTAAAATCATGTACTCTTTATAATTTGGGGGCTGAATGACATGGGGAAGAAAGGATTTCTAGAGAAGAATTTGTTGGCTCTAGACCAGACCCTTAAATCCACCTTCTCTTTTAAGTCCCCTCAAGTTAAAGAACAGAAAAAGTGACGACTTGGGGTTAAGAAAAACACATTCTTGTTTTTGGAACCAGTCTGTTATTCTTTCTTTTAAAAATTTCCTTTCTGGGGAGCTTGGCTGGCTCAGTCAGTGGAGTATGTGACTCATGATCTCGGAGTTGTGAGTTCAAGCCCCATGTTGGGTGTAGAGACTACTTAAAAAATAAAATCTTATATAAAAAAAAAATCCTTTTTGATATGCCCTAGTTTCTTCCTGAAATCTGGATCCCTTGAGCCCAAGGAACCCAGAAACTTTGTGTTTGGGGCAGGAGGAGAGGGCTGTGGATTCGGGGGTGGGGGTCAGTGGGAAGACCTCCATGATGCTGGAGAATCACAAAGGGAGTGTGGTGGAGACGGGGGTGTTTGGTTTGCACATAGATCTGCCTGGTCTCTTGCCCCTTTCCCAACGCCCAGTGACATCTGCACAGAGATAGGCTCCTGAAAGGGCCTGCCTGGGCTTCTTTAGGCTACCGCAGGGTTGGGGAGACCCAGGCTCAGAGAGAGTAAGCAACTGAATGTTGCTCGGCACAGGTTGGTAGCAGCATTTGGCTAAAACCTGGGTCTTCTGGTCAGTGTTCTCCAGGCCGAAGAGCTCAAGTTTCTCTGTAATCTCTAGGAGTCCCTCAGAGCCACTCCCAATAATAATGATGATGACAGCAATATTTGATATGAGCCCTTGAATTTCCTTTTCAACCTTACATAAAGTATTAATCGAAACTTGGCTATTCTTGCTGATTTGTAATACACAGTCTAAGTAAAGAAGACCTATTCGTTCTACGAGTATCGTTTCAGCGTAACTCCCCTAGCTGATCCCTTCCGTCTATGCACTTGCCTATCATCCCCACTTGTCCCCACCCCCGCACTAGAGGCACATGGCCCCCTAGTCCACTCACCGCCGTGCTGGCTCTTTCAGGCCATTGGTGATTCTCCCAGAACAGCTAACCAGCTCTCTGGGTTCTGGAGACCCCACTGCCCGGGAAGTGGGTTAGAGGAAAGGACAGTGCTTGCTTCCCCCCACACTGCACCTGATGGCCTGATGTGGACCTTCTTGCTCCCTCCTTCCCTCATGCAGGTGCGGCACCTGGAGCAGCAGAACAAGATTCTGGAGACCAAGTGGAACCTCCTGCAGCAGCAGAAAACCGCTCGCAGCAACATGGACAACATGTTCGAGAGTTACATCAACAACCTCCGACGGCAGCTGGACACCCTGGGCCAGGAGAAGCTGAAGCTAGAGGTGGAGCTTGGCAACATGCAGGGCCTGGTGGAGGACTTCAAGAATAAGTGAGCTGCCCTCCCACCGCCCCCTACCGACTGAAGTCCTCCTGCCCTGCCTAAGACCCCAGGGCCCTCTGCTTGTTGGGCAGTGCAGTCCTATGTAATTAGGGTGACCAGAGGCCCAGGCTTTCCAGAACAGTCTAGGTTTATGCCCATTGTCCAGGCATAATTGTTAACAGCACCCACCCCCTTTCGATCTCAGAACTGTCCAGATTTGGACAACAAGGTATATGTTAATATTTACGTCGTAAGCATCAGATGGGAGAGGCCTCTGGTACGTACCTGCAGCCTTGGCCTCATTTTCTCCTTACCCTTGATTTCCAGCACACTCCAGAAAGTTCTGTCTGAGGTCTCCTGTCAATCCCCGCTGCTAACCCTCTTCATATGCCTAATCCAATGTGCACACGTGGATTCAGAGAGGGGTTTCCTGCCACAGGCCTCCCCACTGGCTGATGATAGCCCTGGGGTAGGGGTGGGGAAAGAGTTGACTGGTTGGGGCGAAGCACCAGACCAGCCCTCGTGTCCTTCATGAACTGAGTTTCCTAGATATTGCCTCCCCAAATACTCAGGATAACCTCACCTTTGCCTTCACCCTCTGATTCTAATTCTGTTCCTCACCAGATACGAGGAGGAGATCAAAGAACGTGCAGACATGGAGAATGAATTTGTCCTCATCAAGAAGGTGAGGGAACACTCCTCCCCGACCAGACATGGGACGCGGGGCTTAGAGACTTGGATTAGGAGGTTTTCCGGGTTCTGTCCCTAAATGTGTCCAAGTAATGGGGCATTTGGGTGCCTCCCAGGTATACAGCAGAGAAAGATAGACAAGGACCGAGGGATACTTAGGTACATTTGGACAGAACTCTGAACATTGATGTTAGGACGTGGTTAAGAAAATGGAGGTCTGGGGGCGCCTGGGTGGCGCAGTCGGTTAAGCGTCCGACTTCAGCCAGGTCACGATCTCGCGGTCCGGGAGTTCGAGCCCCGCGTCAGGCTCTGGGCTGATGGCTCAGAGCCTGGAGCCTGTTTCCGATTCTGTGTCTCCCTCTCTCTCTGCCCCTCCCCCGTTCATGCTCTGTCTCTCTCTGTCCCAAAAATAAATAAACGTTGAAAAAAAAAAAAATTAAAAAAAAAAAAAAAAGAAAATGGAGGTCTGGCCATGGAAGGGCCTCTTAGTGGAGGAGGAGGGCTGCAGAAACTGAGGTAAACGTGTTTGGGCTGGGGATACAGGTGTGATGGGGCTGAGGCTGGAGAATCAGGCCATGGAGTGAGGTGGAAAAGTCAGTTGGTTAGAGGTTCTGTGTCTGGGCCATTGGGTGTCCCTGGTTGGGGTTGTGTGTGGACACTCAGCTCAGGCTGCCCCTCCCCTACCACCCAGGATGTGGACGAAGCTTACATGAACAAGGTAGAGCTGGAGTCCCGCTTGGAAGGGCTGACCGACGAGATCAACTTCTTAAGGCAGCTGTATGAAGAGGTATGTTCTTGGGGGCTGAGGACTGAGGGTCCCCTGCCCTGTCAGAGGCTCCTCCCAGCCCCCAGTGCATCAGCAGGCAGAGTATCACCAACTGAATGATTACAATTATTGACATAACCCAGCATGACGGTTCTATATGTTTTGCACCCCCTGCATGAGGGTGAGGGAGGCTTTATTACCCCATTTCATAGGTGAGGAAACAGGCTCCGGAATGAAGTATCTTGTCCAAGGTCTTCATACAGAGTGGTGACCCAGCTACAACTTGAACCTGCTCTGTCCCCAGAGCCTTTGTTCTGAATCTTTGGGCCTTCTAGAAAGCTCTTCAGGGGCTTACTACTGGTAGCTGAGTGTGGAAGGGCGCTGCTGCTCAGGTTACACACCTGAAGCCAGGTTGCCTTATTATCCTTATCTTCTTTCACCTGTACTTCCCCCCAGGTTTCAGGTCTTTGACATGTCTTCCTTCTTCAGGAACGTGGCCCTCTCCCCGGCTCTAACTCCACCTGCTTCTCTCCTCTGTTGCTGGCCTCCGTTTTGTCCCTAAAGAAGTTCCTTCTGCCAGAGGGGACTTCTTGGGTGCAGGGACAGGGCCTTACCCCCCCACCCCACCTGCCCCCTACAGGAGATCCGTGAGCTGCAGTCCCAGATCTCAGACACGTCTGTGGTGCTGTCCATGGACAACAGCCGCTCCCTGGATCTGGATGGCATCATTGCCGAAGTCAAGGCCCAGTACGAGGAAATTGCCAACCGTAGCCGGGCTGAGGCTGAGACCATGTACCAGATCAAGGTGAAGAGTGGGGTCACTAGGTTGGCCCTCCCCTCTGGCTGGTTCTGTGCCCTAGTACTTAAGGAGGGAGCAGGATTTCAAAGTCGACCTTGCCTGCTGTGAGCTGGGCCTGCTGAGTGGGTACTGTGGAGACAGGGATATTCGTGTGCCTGGAGGTCTGGAAGAAGGCCGGCAGTGGTGTGTGCGTGTGTG